ACTTTCTCTGGGAGAAGATGAAAACATTTGAAAATGGATCATGATGATAACTGTACAACAAGGTGAACGGACTTCATGCCACCGAAGCGTACGCTTTGAAGGGTTAATAAAGATAATTTTATTGTTTAAAAGTTGATCCTATGCCTTTCATTATTTTTCTTTTTCCATGATATTGCTCCTCCAGTACTATGTTTAATAAATGTTGAGAGCAGCATCTTTGTCTGTTTCTCCTCCCAGAAAAATAGAAATTCTTTATCGAAATAAAAGGTTAAAATGGTAATTTTTATATTGTATATATTTTTAGCCCAATCTGATAAGAGAGCTTTTATAAAGGGCAACTGAATTAAGTCACTACACAGTAAATGGAAGGTAAAAAGTAGGAGGAAAGGGAAGGTCATTTCATTATTGCTGAGCAGGAGTAGAAGTCCAGACTCCTCACATCAGCTACGCTGACACTACTGGGGAGCGGCCTTGCTAGCAGCCAGAGTTGGTGACGGCTCCTGCCCCCTCTCCTCCTTTTCTGATTATGCCCCTATAAAGGACGGGATTAGCATTATGCTATCCCGGTTTCCCACTCCACTTCCTGGCCTGGTGGGAATGGGGCCACTGTTGTTTGTTTGTTTTTCTGTGACATGTGGCTGGAGTAGAGTATTATTTTTTGGTATTCCATCCGTCTTGGAGGACATGCTGTGGTAGGCTGCCTTCTTTGTTGTCTTTGGTTAGAGTGCATCCCTTTCTTGAGGCTAGCTCTGCGCCCGTGAGTGTGTGTGTGTGTGTGTGTGTGTGTAGTACTGAAGATTGAACCCAGGGACACTCTACCACTGAACTGCATCCCCAGTCCTTTTTATTTTTTATTTTGGGACTGGATTTTATGAAGCTGCCTATATAGCACTTGTACTTGAGATCCTGCCTTGGGATTGCAGGTGTGCACCTGTAGTGGCTTTCTAACTGGTGGTCAACTTATTACTACCAGCTGAATTATAATGCTCTTCACAGGACTCTAAACTCTTCAGCATGGTGCTGGGTGCAAAGGCCCACTTGAGGATTGTTGCCAGCAGCATAAAGGCAGAACAGGGGGAGCTGCCAGGAACACTGTTAGGGATGCTGTTTGGAGAAGCTATTGGAACTGTTAGAAGCTTCTAGTTCTCTTGGGTTGTTCTGCTGGAGGAACTTGTCATGCTGGCTTTTCTGATGAACTTTGGAGAAGCTTGGGCCCTCATCTTGAGCATCACCTCCCAGCTCTCGAGGGGAAGATGGTGTACTGCTCAGGCTCAATGGAGCTTATTGCATTGGCTTTCCTGATGGGAACTCAGCTTTCCTCACTGCTGGAGGAGCTTGGGACCTCCCTGTTGCTGAGCATGGCTGTGGTACTTTTGGGGGAGCTTAGTGCTTGAGCGTTGCTTCCTGGCTCCAGTTCAGATCCCTCAGTCTCAGTCTGCTAGCACAGATCCTTCATCCTGTTGGCATAGACTTCCTAGTTTTTTGGGGGTTTTTTAACCTACTGTACAGAGATTTTTTTTCATAATTTTATTGATAAACAAATAGCAATGAGACAGTGTCAAATCAGATCACTAGGACAGTTTCAATAATTAACACACTGCATACATTCTTCTTAGTGGTTAATTGCTGTACAAGATGCGGACTTGAGATCCTATTTTCTGTTTGTAAATAGAACAAATCATTCTATTCATTAAGAGAATGTAACTATATATCTATCCTAACCACTTTGAATACACAGATACAAAACGGGCATTCATCTGTATACCCTTTTTTTGCTAAGTTCCGTTATTTGAATATTATAGGTGTGTAAACTCAGCAAAATATTCTAAGAGAGTCCAGTAGCCCATAATAGCATTGGGACTTTT